TTCAATTACACACATTTTTCCGTCACGTTGTGACCGTCTTATATATACTAGACTAACGCATATCTAGTCAACGCTGGAGCATTCATGAAGAAACAGGATATTTCTAGAAGTCAATGACGTGTTACCAGTGTCACGTGACCTGCGTTGTCGTAACAATATGTTAAAAATTCGTCTGCTAGAGTTCAATCGGTATTTTTAATTAAAACTCTTATAGTAAAGAAACGTTGAAAGTCAGTTGGTGATTAGAATATCAAAAAACACCAACTTCCACTCATAAATCTATTTATTTCTGATAAAGATGGTAAATTTGAATGTGAAAATTTTGATAAGAAGAAATGCACTGGTTTGTATTTCAAGATTGAAAGTTTTATACCATTGTCTTTTAAGAAATATCTGGTTAAAATATTAATTTATCGGGCATATAGATCAATCAATAAGTATGATTTTTTTTCACAAAGAGAGAGAAAATATTAAAGAACTTTTACTAAAAATTCCTTTCCAATAGGTATTATAAATCATGTTATTAATAACTATTTAAACAATAAAAGTCCTTCTGAACTATTTGATTGGAATGTTGCTAAACAAAAACATCTTTAGTACTACCATGTTGATTAGAAACTAGTATACGCAAACTATGTCATTGTGCATTCCGTCAAGTTGAATTGAGATGTATTTTCAAGTCTGTTTGCTGGTTACAGTACTTCTTTGACTATAAAGATCGTATACCTACCATTAAAACTTCTGATGTGGTATATAAATATATATATGTGTACTAAATATTCTTTAGATTATATTGAATCGACCACCAGATGGTTAACAGTTTATGTACAATAACATGAAAATTTAAGTTTCACATTATTTTCAAGCATCAAGAAATATGTGCAGAATGAGTATAGTGCAACTGTAAGTAGATGACAATTTAAAATTCTTACAAACGCAAGCAATGAACAAGAACTGCGTTTAAAGGGAGTTTATTAGGCTTAAACTAATATTTTGTATGAGCTAAAAAGTGAAGTTTGTTTATTATTAAACCACGATTAGAGAATATTAATGTTGTTTATGGTGACGATAAAGTTGACTTTTAACTAAGATTCTGCCTTAATTTACTTATAACAAAGGACGTTCTGGTACATTTGTGTCTTCATGAGATCAGGGGCTTCTGATAACTTTAATAGTTACTTGTGAAGAGGGTTCATTGAATTAGGTATTTGGATCTGATTGTCTGTGAAGCGAGGATTTCTAGTAGAGTTCTTTAGCCTTATTTCTAGTACTTTATAAGATCTTCGTTTAGCGTTAGTTTTGTGCTCTTTATATGTCGTGCCCCTATTGATTCGTAATTTTCCAGTATTTCGAATTGATTCGGTAGCCGTGGGCAACTACATTTTTTGATTTTGGTTTTTGCGCCACTAATCTAAACGTTTCTACTGGTATATAGATCTTAATAAGCAACAAGGTTGTTTGTTTTGGAATTTGCTTATCAATGTTTTTGTTGGTTTTTGCCAGTTTTTTATGTGTTAAACCGCGTCTAGATTTGGAGCTTCTGGCATATTCTGTTGGTTTTCTAAAACTTCCTTATGGAATAACAGGAGTGATGCTAAAAAACAAACATAGGTTTGTGTTATATGTGTAGTCGTTGGCGTAGTTTATTCCTTGGTCAACCTTGAAGGGTAGACGTTAGTGTGGAAGATCTTTCTTGGGGTAATTTATCCTCGTCATAAGGTTTTTGCAGTTTCTATCTTGAACTTCCTCAGGGTTGGTAATGTATATATTTGTCTGCAGGAAATCGTTTTTGATAAGCAATGGAGAACAAGTCGTTAAAATAACGTCAAAAAAGAACATGAAATAAAAACTAGAAGCTATTTTTTTAACTGTCTACGGGAAGACAGATTTTTCGTTAAAAGCAAACTATTAGCCTATTACTCCCTATCAAGTGCCTGAAAGGTTATATACGTTATGAATAATAATTCACATTTGAATCAATTAAAAATCAGTCAGACACACAGAATCGATTGCAAAGGTGTCAACCACCAGTATTTGCTATACAGAAAGTAAAAACTGTGTTTTATCACCTAAAACGGTTGGCAGTGCATTTACAATGACTAATGTAATTCCCAGGAAGCGGCGAACTTGAGTTTGAAGAATTCATGGCGCTGGCAGCTAGGTTTTTGGTGGAAGAGGATGCAGAGGCTATGCAGGAAGAGCTTCGAGAAGCCTTTCGGTTGTATGATAAACAAGGCCAAGGTTTTATAAATGTATCTGATCTGCGAGACATCTTAAGGGCTTTAGATGACAAGCTGACAGAAGATGAATTGGACGAAATGATTGCTGAGATCGACACAGACGGCAGCGGGACCGTTGATTTCGACGGTAGGTCGTGTTCATAAAACTTCTGTTTTCATAAACGTTTATATAATATATATATATATTTGTCATTGTTATTTTAAACATTAATTTCATTCTCTAAAGTCGTTTTTTACTCGATATTATTATTTTTCCTGCGGATATGTTTTACACCGTAAAGTAGAACGTAACCATCAGTGTTTTGAAATTTTCATTTTCTGCTGAAATCCTAAAACATGAAGTCAATTGCACAGCTAGTTCTAATGTATGTCAAATGTTCGAGTCAGTAGAAACCCTTAACATACTATAGAAGTGTGTCATAACAATTAAAGATTGGATTGAAATACTCAATAAGTTCGGTTGAAAACGCTGTCAACCAGATTTCAATAAGAGTCGCCTATATGGAGTAAATCAAAATATATTTTGTGAGATAATGAAAAAATAATATTTAGCACTATAAAGATGTTACCAATACTGATAACTAGCGCTGTAAGTTATCGATTTATTAAGCACTATAAAGATGTTACCAATACTGATAACTAGCGCTGTAATTTATCGATTTATTAAGCACTATAAAGATGTTACCAATACTGATAACTAGTGCTGTAAGTTATCGATTTATTAAGCTTCTGCATTACAAGATATTATCCTCTTCTCTCTTTATCTTTATAAATTAGACTGAATATAGAGACATGTAAAAATAAGTTGCTTACTTAAAATCTAACCTATTTGTCTGCAGTTTTTAATTGAAGGACAGTAGGTTAGATTTAACGTAGGTGAATTCTCTTATATTAATCAACTCTTTAATCTCTGAAATTATTCAAACAAGATCTTAATCATTCGCTTATTTTACTGCCTTTTTTGAATGCATTCATTTTACTCGTATAAACAATTTCAATTAAAATTGTTATCTAAAGTTTCTAAAACTTTATCATTCAATTTATTTCAATATACAGACAATAAATCTTAAGAACAGGTTTCAATCCATTCATACTTTTGATTTTATAACTTCATTGTACGAGTTATTGTTTCTTTAAATTGCTGTATTACGATCCATCGATCCATTATCATGCGTTTTCATTTGAATTTCAAGTTACATTTCCCCAAATAACCCAATGCCAGTTTTAATGTTTTTAAATGTTTTGGTTTTATATATCCTTAGAGTTCATGGAGATGATGACAGGAGAGTAAAGTTCTGTGGAGAGAAGTAACAACAATTCGTAGGGGTGCACTCCCCCTCCATATCTTATGGCCGTTTTACATATTGCTATTGGTTGGTTGTTTTTAGCAATCGTCCAATATATATACTTTTTTGTTACAAATAAATATTCACTTTAATTCAAATCCTCGCATTGCTGTTTCTATGTGGTAGTTTCAGCAAAACGAATAAATGTGAACAATATCATTTTCGTGATCTGAAAATTTAGAATTCAGGTTTTTTTCAGTTTCGTTTATGCAGTGGCACTTGTAAAAGTTTTAAATTGTTAAATATACATGAAAAATTCTTTGAAAGTAAAATACATCTCATTAACATAATCTTTGTTGTTGTCTTATTATTTAAACGAATTTCCAATTGTGATAATACACAACGAACAGCCCGGCATGGCCAGGTGGATAAGGCGCTCGGCTCACAATCTGAGGGTCGCGGGTTCCAATCCGCATCCCACCAAACATGCTCGCCCTTTCAGCCGTGGGGGCGTTATAATGTGACGGTCAATCCCACTATTCGTTGGTAAAAGAGTAGCCCAAGAGTTAGCGGTGGGTGGTGATGACTAGCTGCCTTCCCCCTAGTCTTACACTGCTAAATTATGACGGATTAACGAGATTCCCACTGTCCCTATCTACTATCTAGCGAAACCACAGCTAAGGGAACGGGCTTGGAAAAATCAGACTAGAAACAAACAAACACAACGAACAAAAAACATAGTGCATGAAAATAAGGATTAGGGAATAATCAGAAAATATAACTTGTCAACGAACAGGAACAGCAGAGCTCTAGTTAAAATACAAAACAGCCAATATAGTTATTAAGCTTTAAAATATCAAGATGAGTATCAGATGATTAACTCACAAAAACAAAACTATTTAAGTAAAACATATAGCAAAATATAATTGTGAATAAGATATAAAACAAACTAAACTTGTTTTAATGTATTGTCCTTTACTCACAAACAAACACCTAAAACACTTTAGGTGTTTGTCTAGCATGTGACATACCATCATAATTAATTATATATTATTATTAATTTCACTATCTGTTGAGTTATCTATTTAAAAAGTTCTTTTACTGACCAAACGTGAATGATAGTGAATAAAAGATGACGTGAAGCCTGATCTATTCTGTGATTCGCTACTTCCATTATGGTAGACCAATTTCGTCGAATTCGCAGCTCTGATAACTGTACCGATAAAGATACTCGAAGCCTTTAACCTACTAGTCTTGTCAGCGTCTGTTAGAACAAATTTGACGAATGACAAAATTATAACATTACACAAAGTTTTAAGTTCGTATACCAAGAGAATTTGTGAGTGACAAAATATTACTGATGCACAACAAACAGAACATCATAAATACCAAGAAAACACGCACTGCATGATAAAAATATTCATTTTAAGACAACCACACACAACTTTTTGAACCAGTTACTTGAGAGCTAAATTAATGATAAAACAATCGTATTAACTCGGTGATAACGACTTTATTTAAACGAAACCTCAGTATGATATGACGTGAAGCTAACTGTATTGAATACAGAGTAAGCTTTTAACACATAAACCGAAAAGATGTTTTAAAAGAGGGAGGGGGGTCTCTCATCGTCCCCTGGTAAAAGGTGAGTAAAATGAGGGATGAGAAAAAGAAAGAAATTGATGAGGGACCACACAGAAATATAACGTGAGAGAACGATGAGTAACATAATGGTCAGTAAGGAACAAGTGTCCCGGCCATATTTCGACACCAAAAAGCTTCGGTGATGTATGCGACATCGGAGACACTAGAAGGAACGTAATGGGAAAAAAAAAGAAACAAAGTTCGGAATAAAACGAACGCGTCATGCGTATTAGAAAACCCAGAAACAAATCAAATAGATAAATAAGAACAAATTTAATTAATTTTGTTGAAATAAGAAATTAAATCGACACATTCAGAAAGCGAAGCAAATATACATGCAAAACTATGTGAAATATGTTAACTCAAAGTGGTCAAAATTGAAATATAAAATGAAATGCGTGATATAGGTAGTGCACTGGAGTGTAAATGGGTTATTTGAATAGCGAAAGTTGTAGTCTGAAGACAGTATCCTTCAATATAATAAGTTTACCCATATAGATGTATTCTAAGAGTGAACAAAATCCTAAATATTTTAGTATGCGGATGAAATAATCAGTTTTTTTCCTCTTTCAGTAAACTATAAAAAAAAAGAGGTTAGTTTCGCTAAACATATTTCAACGGGGAAATAAAATATGATGAAACCAGAATAAGTGAGCGTCAAAAGTAAGTTTGTTTGTAATTAAGCACAAAGCTAGACAACGAGATATCTGTGATGTGCCAACCACTGGAATCGAAACCCGATTTCTAGCGTTGTAAGTCCGCAAACATACTGCTTGCAACTGGGGGACGTCAAAAGTAAAAGTAACGAACTTACATGTAGTGTAAAAATAAGAAGAATGTGTTTCTGGAGAAATGATTAAAAGTTCTAGAAAGACTAAGATAAAAATCTAACATAAATTTTTTTTATTAAAGCAAACTATCTAGTCAAATTGAAAAAAAAAAAAAGAAATCAAACCGGCAACGAATACAGCTATACAAATATATCGTTATTGCGTTCTTACTTATAAAGATAATAATGCGTTATTACATCATTTGGGTACCATCGCTGATAACGATATTTTCGCCCATAAACTCAACCATGTTTCAAGAAATTCGCCCAATTTAGGTTAGTCCTAAATCTATATACTAAGCCAACAATGCAAACTAATCATATTGTTACGACATCGGAAGTCACGTGACCCTGGTAACACGTGGTGATTTTTCTAGAAGGATAATGAAGGCCCCAGTGTTTGCCAGACGCCCTCTATTTTAATATATAAGCCCGGCGAATATTGCAGATGGGGGAGATATAAGGACGGAAAGTCGAGTCAGGTCGTAAGTGGGGTGCGTGAATCGTTCTGAATTGTAGCGTGTGTTTGGGTTGGAGTAACTGTGGAGATTAAGTGTGTTGCGGGGTTGTGTTGAGAAGGGATAAACTGGTTTTATTTGGGAGGGGACTTGTGTCGCTGAAGTTTTTCTGAAATAATTTCTATGGGAAATTAACAAACAAACAATATAAACAACAATTTTCTAAATTTATATAGTAAGCTAACAATGAAAAATATTATTATCAATAA